AATTTGAAGTTGCCTGACGAAATGGTTTCGTCATTCGTCAGTGACGAATATTTCGTCATTCGTCACCCATCATTAATATGCACGTGCATATTTGTACCGGTATCTTGGGAAGATTTTATTTTCTAACGCGTTGTTATTAATGAGTGCCGCTAAGAGAAAACCTGCTAATAAGATTTGCAGGTTTTCTATTGGTAGCACTTATATAAAATCACGATTCTGCGAAAAATAGCTTATAAATCCAAATTCTGTGATATTCTGCTGTGATTAAGACCAATTTCTGTGGTTAGCTGCGTTTAAGAAAAATTCTGCGGTGTTCTCCCTGCTCCGGACACAATGCTACGCATTAGCCTAGTGATTATCATAGTTTATTAAACTTTCGCATACACTGTTACATATTTTTGCAGAGTTAAAAGCTGACTTTATTTTGAGTATTGATCTTTTTTTTTTTGTGTAATTATAGAAAAACTATATAGAGGGTTATTTTTCACTCTAAAGGTAAATTTCTTGGTTCTTTTTGTATCTTTCGATAGTTCTTTTTAACAATTATATTGTACTCTCTATCGCTCTTTGCATCGTAATAAAAATTACTAAAATTAATGCTTACGATCTGCGTATTGATACAAGCTCTTTCGATCGTAACAATGTTCAATTAGTAAAAAATGCACAGCTGATACTTTTGTTACGTATAAACTGTGCTAACCTGTATAAGATCCAAAAATTTGGTTAATTCTGGTCAAATCTACAGATCATAGGAGAACTTTGAAAATTCATCTCTCGGTCAAATGATTTGCAATTTTTGTGGTTTGTTCTGCATAACGAAAACGATAAATCGAAAAATTCGCCTAAAACCGTGTTCAATTACATATTGATTTACATATTGTATTCTTACAAACTAATCAAAAAAAGAGGTCCGCTAAAGCCTTGTACCCACAAGACTTTTCTATGTAGATCACCCCAAAAAAGGTAACCCCCAACCGGACATCATACTCGGTAAATGTAGCTTACACTACATTGACAACTACATTGACAAATGCTTACACCGCATGAATATATATATGACAAAATAGATCGGGCAAAATTAAATAGGTGTAAAAAAGTATCTAGTTTGTCTTCGCCCAGCCAATTACAGTTTTTTTTTTATTTTTAATTTTTTGAAAAATACATTATTCGCACGGATAAATATGAAAACACATGATTTTCATATATACCCGTTCGAATAAACTTTCAAAAAAGGCACGGGTTGTTACATAAGACTAGGGATGGCAATGTTTTTATTACGTAATTAAAAACAGGTGAAGATAAATTAAAAAAACAAGCGAGCATTATTTAAATCAGTATTCGGACTTTAATCATCACATGTTTTAAACAGGCGAAAAATGTTTTAAACAGTTTTTTTTACCATTTCTACATAAAAGCCGTACGATAATTTAAGATACTTATGACGAAATATTATTTTTTCAGAGTGTTGCGGCCTGATGTTGATGACATTATTAATATCTATTATGGGCCGAAGATTTTTTTAAATACTTTATTACCTGATTAATTTTAAATAATGCCTGAAATTTTTTAATCATGAGCGGAATATTTTAAATACTTTACCGAATATTAAATATTTACATAACATTACTATGTTTTGGGTTTTGTCACATAATATTAATATAAATTGTCGGTTAGAACCGTTAAAACAAAAACGATAAATTAGTTAACAATATTGGTTAAAATTACTGCTATTATGTATCACATTACGTAAGAATCAACTATGTATATAGGTATTAAATTAAACTTCGTTATTATCAAATTACATATATCAGATATATTAAATTCAAATTACGATATATATTAAACTTCGTTATCAGTTATTATCAAATTACGTAAGACTAGTATAAGAAGCTATGTCAAAACAAATAATTTAATAAATGTTACTTATTCCAGTGTAATAATATTGACAATAAATTAATTGCTGTTAGCGGCTGTTCAATTTTCGATTAATAAAAAATCTAATTCTGGTGGCCGACCTCGAGGAAAATATGGAATGTTTATGTTGTCGAACAAAAAAAATGGAAATTACTATTCTATTCGATGCGACTATTGTTCTAAGCATTGGAGGAATACCCGATGCGACTATTGTTCTAAGCATTGGAAAAGAGGCAATGGAATCACATTTAGCTAATGAATGTTTCAGTTGTCCACAAGATATACAAAATATTGGCAGGATAAAAACTCGCAAAATCAATAGATCCTGTTAATAAAAATAATTCAAAATTACTTTCTATAAGTCATCAAAATGAGGCTGACGATAATTAGCTTTAAATAATACAGTTTAATAATACAGTTTAATAATACAGTTTAATAATACAGTTTAATAATACAGTTTAATAATACAGTT